CTGCCCTCAACAGTTTCCGAGACATTGCATGTCCGCCTGCATGCGTACCAAAACCACCCTCGTGGACTTCTTCCATAAGAAAACCTGCTTCTCTTTCGTCCACACATCTCAACAAGACTAAGTCGAAGTTTCTTCAGTAGAGTACATCATCCTTGTTCAGATAGAAGTTTCTAGACAATCTTCTCAAAGTATTCTTATCCCGGCTCGATGCCCCAGGCGAATATACCTGATTCTTGAGAAAGTTTTTCATATCATAATACCACGACTTCCCATCCAATGTCTCCTCCACTGCAAATATGAATGTTGGTCTATCGAGGCGCGAGATGACAATCCATGGAGCGTCATTCCAATAATTCACCTTATACATCGAGGATAAGGTAGCTAAGGCATCTGTCATCTGATTCTCAGCTCTTGGCTCGTGATGAAACTCTACCCTATCGAAGAAAGGTAACAACCTCCTTGCATAGTTCATATACAGTACCAGATTAGGTTGACGAGTCTCCCATTCTTCTTTTATTTGATTGACTACCAAATCTGAATCACCATAAATATCAAGGTTCTTGATTTTCAAATCAATTGCTTCTTCGATACCTATGATACATGCTTCATACTCAGCTTCGTTGTTGGTGCAGGGGAATGTTAACTTGGCAGTAAAAGGTATGTGGGAACCGTGGGGAGTTGTAATGATTGCCCCAATTCCGCTGCCATAAGAGTTAACATCACCATAAAGAATCATCTTCCATTGGGAGCCTATCTCAGGACCTTCATCGAGTAGCGGATCGTCGCAGTCTTTCATCTTCAGAAACATGATGTCCTCATTAGGAAATTCAAACTTCATCAGCTGATAATCATCAATCGGTTGCTCTGTGAGATATTCTGACAACACACTCCCCTTAATGGCTTTTTAGGAGACATACTGAATATCGTATTCTATCAGAACCATCTGCCACCTAGCAATTCTTCCTGAAAGCGCTTGCTTCTCAAACACATACTTGATCGGATCCATCTTCGAAATCAGCATGGTTGTGTGATTCAACATGTACTGCCTTAGGCGTTTGGCGGCCCAAGAAAGTGCACAACACGTCTTCTCTAACATTGAGTATCTGGACTCACAATCTGTGAACTTCTTACTCAAATATAGATGGCATGTTCTTTTCATCCTGTCTCGTCGTGTTGATCGAGAACACAACCCATGGAGTTCTCAAGAATCGTCAAGTACATTATCAATGGTCTTCCAGCCACTGGAGGCATCAGTATCGGAGGCTCCTGCAAATACTATTTTATCTTTTCAAATGCCCTTTGGCAATTTTCATTCCAGACAACCGCCTGATCTCTCTTTAACAACTTGAACAATAGTTCCCAAGTGGCTGTGAGGTGAGATATGAACCTTGAAATGTAATTTAATCTACCTAGAAAACCACGAACCTCCTTTTCTATTTTTGGCGCTGGCATTTCTTGTATAGCTTTTATTTTTACAGGATCGACCTCGATTCCTTTTTCACTGACTATGAACCCCAATAGCTTTCCTGACCGTACACCAAAAGTACACTTGTTCAGGTTCAACCTTAATCTGAATTTCCTTAACCTCTCAAACACTTCAAGAGATTAACCGGATGCTCTTCCTTCGTTTGTGACTTTGCGATCATGTCATCAACATAAACCTCGATCTCATGATGAATCATATCATGAAAGAGAGTCACCATTCCCCGCTGGTAGGTTACCCCTGCATTTTTCAATCCAAAAGGCATCACCTTATAGCAAAAAGTCCCCCACGGCGTGATAAAGGTTGTTTTCTCCATGTCCTCCGGGGCCATCTTGATCTGGTTATACCCGGAGAAGTCATCCATAAAAGAAAACACAGAATATTGAGCCATATTATCAGCTAGCACATCAATGTGGGGGAGCGGGAAATCATCTTTCGGGCTCGCTCTATTTAGATCACGGTAATCAACGCACATCCTGACCTTACCATCTTTCTTAGGTATAGGCACAATGTTAGCGACCCACGGAGGGTAGTTCGTAACAACAAGAAAATCGACTTCCAACTACTTATGGACCTCCTCTTTAATATTAACTACCATATTCGATCTAGTCCTTCTTAGCTTTTGCTTTACCAGTGAACACTCCTGTCGGAGAGGTAAACGATGAACCATTATATCTGTATCGAGTCTGAGCATATCCTCGTATGACCAAGCGAAGACGTCTTTATACTCTCGAAGCATTTCTACCAGTCTTCCCTTGACATCGTCTTGCAACACAGCCCCTATCATGACCTCTTTTCTGTCTTCCTCTATACCTAGGTTGACGACTTCAATCTCTTCTTGATGAGGCATAATTACCTTCTCCTCTTGTCTCAGCAACCTGGCGAGCTCTTCAGGCCGGTGTTTTTCTTCCTCAGTCTCTTCTTCAGCTTGAAAGATTGGATTGTCAAAGTCATACCGAGTTATAGACGAGTCTGAATTGGTGGCATTTGCGATATGAAACCTGCATGATGATGATTTAATGCTTAAAATGATATGTAAACAAGCATAAACCACATTGCCATTTTATTGTTAAAATGAAAACAGGAAAAACAGGGATAAAAAATATTTGAATGCAAAAGCGCCTTTTAATTAATGATAAAAGCAATTGTTCAAACATAAACAAGATAAGGCCCTACAAAGAAAGACCACTACGTTCCGGGTAGAACGCAGGGCTACACATAATCAGAAAGCAGATAAGTTACTCTTAAAATGTCACTCGGACAACTTCCTCAATAGTCCAATTGCTCAGGCTTTGACCGGGAACACATGGTTGGATCCAGGCGTCCATATCACAATCACTATCCCCCTCGTCTTCAGATACGGTGTTGATTCTGTCGAAGATCACACCACCACTTATAAACTGAACTGGTCCTCTATAACGTGGAGCATTTTGTGAGGAAGAAACTGACATGATGTATCCCAATCCGAACTTATCCTGCTTATTAGGGATACTTAGCACCTGACCTCATCCTTGATATGAATCCGACTCCGCCACTGCTTGAGCTTCTTTAAAAGAAGACATAGAAATCTCGGGAGTCCTATCCACCACATAAGGCTTTTCTTTGATCTAAACCGCATCAAACGCTTGGCACAAGGTCTCATGAATTTCCCCATAAACTTCAACATACTTGAAAGAGGATAACTGGCTGATCATTATGTCTTCTTCACCACAGACGGTGACAAGATTACCTCCAACCATGTAATTTAACTTCTGATGTAAGGTTGACGTCACTGCCCCTGCAGAGTGAATCCAGGGTCGACCTAACAGACAGTTGTATGCAGGCTGAATGTCCATTATATAAAAGACAACATTGAAAATCTCAGGCCATACTTGAATGGGGAGAGTCACTTCACCAAAACCAGATACCATCGTTCCATCGAACGCTCTCACAACCAAGTCACTAGGAGTGCATATCACTCCTTGGGTGTCTAGCTTCATTAAAACCTTCTTGGGTAACACGTTGAGTGAAGACCCAGTATCCACCAGAACATGTGATAATACAACCCCTCTGCACTCAATAGAAATGTGCAAGGCGTGATTGTGATTCCTTCCTTTAAAAGTTAGGTCTAAATTTGTAAACCCTAATCCATTGCCAACGTTCACGTGGGCCATAACCCCTTCAAGTTGGTTCATTGAAATCTCTTGCGGCACATACGCTGTGTTTAGAATCCTTAAAAGGGCATTCTGGTGTGCCTCTGAGCACAATAGCAGAGATAAGATTGAAATTTTGGATGGATTTTGTTGTAGATGATCAACAATTTTATAATCGCTCTTCCTAATCAGACGCATAAACTCCTCAGCGTCTTTAACCAGAGCATCCTTTTTCCCTTGCTAGGAACTTTCTTCTACAATAGCCTTTCCTTTCCCTTTGTTCGGCCTCTCAACATTAACATCGGGCGGTGAAAATACCCTGCCACTTCTCGTCATTCCACTAGTTCCAATTAAGTTGTCAACAGATGAACCATCAGACGACGTTCCCCTGAACTCCTGCTTCTGGCCATTACAAAAGACCTCCGCCCCATAATTCCATGGGATTGCTTTAGTACTTTCATAAGGCACCAGTCCTGCCTTGGTGATTATAACAATTGATGGCCTTGGCGGCGCAGATATGTTAATCATTCTGAAAGGGATCGAGATTGTAGCAATATCATCCCGCCCCTGATTAATCACCTTCTCATCTTTGTCTTCAACAATCTTATCAAATTGTAAGACACCTTCATTCATTAAACACTGGACATGATTCTTCAAACTTTCACAACCTTCGGGATGCACTGCACACTCTTCACAATCTTCCCCACAGCCTGGAAAACCCCGCCTTTTAACAACTTGCTTTTAACAAAGCTCAATGGCGTTCTTAATTCTACAACATCCAGAGGATGCCATGAGTGAGTTTGAAAATATCAGAGGGGCTCATGCTAGATTTGAATTGAAGAAAATATATACATATGACATCCTTAGAACTGAGGAGGCAAGAGGTGATGACGAGTAGGTGGGACTCCATAGAGTGTGTACTATGAGAGCATACCCACTATATTTGGTTGACAATGTGATTTTTTTAGAAAAGAGTATCACTTATACAGATGTCGTTTACCTACGGTACTTCAAAGACTTTGAACAGTTTAATTTTTATTTGAATTGGTCTGAAATTTAACACCATATCCCAATATCCAATTTATTCATATTAAAACTTTAATCATTAAACTAAATTAAGAAAAAAAGTTCATCTTTCCGTTTAACCAAACAAAAGACATATATTTTTTAAAAAAATCTTTTTAAATTTTCGGAAAAGAAATTATAGTTATTTTTTGACATTAAATAATTATAGTTATAGTGTTTGAAAAATTCAAATATATGAAGCACGAGATGCAAGATGAGAGTCCCACGTAGTGCAATGTGCTAACTTCTAAAACAAGCCATATACTTTTGCATGTCTTTCTCTTTCTCTCTAATCTTCAACAATTAGTTTTATAATTAGAATGGAAAATAAACTCCAATTTTTTGTTCTTTTCATCATCTTAATAATTCTCCAGTTCCAACAAGTAACCCCTAATGAAGGTGGCCAAAATGTTGCACAAGATTATCCAGAAAAACCAGTCCTTAACAAGTTTCTGATGGACACAGTTTCTCTACTCAGAAAATCCCAAGAAAGTACATGGGAGAAAATCAAAATCGTCATTCATGATCTTCAGATGCAGTTTTCACCACCAAATTTAGAGTAAGTTAGTGTATTCATAAAAGTTTATTTCATATTTAGGATTCAATCACCAATATAATCTTACAATTCAGTTGATAGTTGTAAAAAGACATCCTGACTCGGCGTGGGTTGGATCACACCACATGCCATATATACATTTTTTAGTGGGGTGATAAAAAAAATTAGTTTAATGAATTTAAATGTTAAATTGGTTTTATATATAAATAGCAATGGATGGTAATGTTGTGTATTTTTTTCTTCAGTTTTAGGGGTGTGGGAAAGGGTGGTGTAAAAGAAGCAGTTGAGAAGAGTTTTGACAAAAGCAAAGAATCAGTGGAAGAAACTGCTAAATCAGCCGCTGAATTTGTTGGAGAAGCAATTCATAAGAGAACAGAAAAGGTGAACGAGAATGCTGACTATGATATGGATACTAAAGATGAACTTTGATTCAATTTTTTTTCTTCTTTTAGGAAAATTTTAATCAAAATTGTAATGATGTTTGTATTCTATAAAACAATTTATTGATGGTAAACTTTTTTTGTTTCTTAATTAGGTTTTCATACCCAACAACGTACATGTTCTCCATTCACAAGTTCACAGGAAATGTTTTTTTTAAAAAAAATAAATCATTTTTCTATTTCTTCATCTTCAAAACCACAAGGTTGCTTAGAGCTACATCAATAACTACATTATTTTGCAAATTCTGTATTATTAATTTTAAAATAAAAAGTTAGATGTTTGTGTCTCTATCTTAATATATCTTTATATGTATTGACAAACAATGACAAAATATAAATTAAAAAAGTATTTCAATAAACATTGTTGTAAATTGTTTTAATTAAAATTTCTAATAAAATATTGTTAGCTAAGAAATTCCAAAAGAAAATCCAACAGAGAAGTCAATTGAAATTTCTCTAAACATAGGGAAAGATCAAGTTGCTTTTCAATTAAAAGACTTATCATGGGAGAAATAGTATTCGGAGTCAAAGAGTCTAGCAGAGGACTTAGAAAGTTTCCAAGAAGTTCAGTGTTGCGCCAGGTTCGACAGGTCGAAGAAGTTTGATCGGGAGCATATTCAAATTTTAAACTGAAATAATTTTGTTTTGATCTTATCCAAATTAGCAAGGACACGTGGGAATCAAATCAAGTGTCAGTTAACATGCAGAAATGACGTCTCATACGAAGGAACATTCGAACATTGGAAGGTCATTAATTTATAGCATTATGAATAAAGGTTCTAGTGGTAGGATCAAAGGGTGACAAAAAACATTAAAAACTTCAATTACACTCAAAGTACTCGCACACAAGAGAGAAACGAGTTTCTCTAAAGAAAAATATACTTGCGTACCATTTTTACTTTTATGCAAATACATCTCTTTTTTACTTAAACTTATTTCGTTGTTTGTTTTTTCTTTAACATTCAAAAACTAATTTTGACCGTGTCGAAATCAGTTTGTTAATTCATTTTTACAACATACTTCTTTTATTGAAGAACACTCATCATTTATAGCAAGTAATCCGACAATATCAATTGTACATTTTTTTCTCAAAAAATTAGCACAAACTTGCCCTAGGATTTATTAGTTTGGTCATTCAAGTAATTAACCTAAAACTAAGTGATTATTTATTTAAAACACCGCTGAACAAATTGGCATGCCTAGTGGGACCTTATTTGTGAAAATTTTGAAAACTGTTCGTATTTGGTATTTATTGTGAATTTCTCTTGTATTTAAAAATGTTTTCTGAATCTAGATTTATATGTGTTCACTACTACAAAATATACCTTTTGTAACACCAATTTTACAACGCCCATAGTGTTAATCGTGGCAATAGTTTATTTCTGCGTGCTTTTTTTTTGTATTATTAGAGGACATGTCGCAATGGTCAAATGAAGCAACCGTGGTGAAAAGGTAAATTTGTTTTCTCTATAGTTTTTTTTCCAAAATCTATTTCAATAGCTTGTTTCATGATGTTTGAACTTCCTTCTTGTTTTGACTTGTAGGCATGGATGTTTCTTTCAATAAAGAGGACGAAGATAAATTTACCTTACAAACTTGTGTCAAAGATCCAAAATGACATCCATTCAAGATATACACAAGTTTGCAGGTCTAAATTTATCTGCATCCTTATTTCATTGACAACACCCCTTTATAGGATGTATGGTACGTTTTTGAAACATTTTATGACTTGATATGTTTGTTGTATAGTTTTTGTTGTTTATGGTTTATTATTGATGAATGTTTTTTATGAATGTTATTGTTAATGTTTCTTTAAAAGTCGAGTTTATTATATGTTATGTGGTTTACGTGTTTTTTCAATCCCTTGCCGAATATATAACTTTCCAAACTGTATTAGAAAATTATTATATGATAAATAAAATTGTATTAGAAAATAAGTACACATTCAATTCTTGACAAGAATTCTTCACACTGTTAAAGTCATGTTGTTCTTTGACGGTTAAAACTTGGTTTAATGATCATAGATCTTCAACCGCCCCTCTCTCCACCTCTAATTTTGTTTTCAAAGTACATAATATTTTGCAAAAACAATTAGGTGTGAAGAAAGAAGCAGTTGAAGAACTAGGATCATTAAACCAAGTTCTTACTGTTAAAGAACAAAATACAAACAAAGACTTGAAGAATTCTTGTCAAGTATTGAAGATTATATGTTTAGTGAGCATTAACGAAATTCTTCTAATATAACTTATAATAAACTCAAGTCTATATTTAATTGCGGTTGTTCAGAACAACCGTGATTAAATATGATGCATTAAATAATATTACAACGGTTGTTTAAAGTAATCGTTGTTGTAGGTAGCGCGTTACATGGGTACAATCACGATTGCACGACCAAGGTGGAAATCATCATACATACAATCACACCTTACCTCACAACGGTTGGACCAACATGGTGGTATCCCTTTTCCAACCGTTATGATATGTGTTTTCCATAATAGTGAATTGAGGAGTGGTAAAACTTTAGTCTGATGGCTCGTTCTAGAAACACGTCACTTCCCTAAAACAATGCTCTAGAGGATGAATATCCTATCTCTTTTATAGTTGGAACTACATTGAATACTGATCCCATAGGGGCTAATGAACATGTCCTCAACCCAGTAATGAGCACGACACCGATGCCAGAGGTGGTGGTTTCTTTGCTTGTGGAAACAAGTATTTCGACTATTCCCAGGATGACAAGTGTTCCCTTGGTGGACCTTATGTATCAAATTTCAGATGCCACAAGTGTCGAGAGATTTTCCCTATGGTATGCCAATTGCAATGATGGCAGGATTATAAAGTAATATTTCGACATTTGTAGATAATAACCCATCAATAACATTCCCTTTGAGTCCATGTCTGCTATTAGTCACCCTAGTCGAGCGACACAACATGGAGGGACCATATTTGTTCCCCCAAACGCATATGTTCTTACGACAAACTCCATGTTGTCCATAAGACAAAAAATATATTAAAGTAACTCGAGATGGTTAATATGCTTACTCAGTAAATTGGTACGGTGTTTAATCCCCTGATTTAGAATACCAACCAAAGTTACCAGTTGTTGTCCAATCAAATGGGTCGAATAACTAATTTTTTCGGCTCCCCTCGGGACCAAGCATAACTAATCCCTCAAATGTGCCAGTTAGGTCATTTGGGATGCCTGACAATGGATATGTTCCTCTTAATTAAGGGAAATAACAACAAGAGATACCTCGACCGATCAAGCCCCATATAGTTATGGAAGGAGAAGAATGAATAACCCAGGCTAATCTAGGGGTAGTCATGGTAGGTAGGAACCAAGATGCTGAAGAAGTAGTAAGGAACGTTCAACAAGATAACCTGAGAGGCCAAAATAATCTAGCCCACATAGTCAAGAATATCCTTGCTTAATATGGCCTTAATGTAGGGTTCATAGGCCAAATTTCGTGTCTCCCTTGACTGAATATGTTTTGGAGACATGACTTCCTAGGGGATGGAAAGTCCCTAGAGTCACTTAGTTTACAGGAGACACAAGTGAGCCGGCTGTCGAACATATTGCTTGATACTAAACTGAAGCGGGTGATATAACTAATAAAGAGTATTTTCTATTGAGATTATTTCCAAATTTTATAATAAAAAATGCTTTCACATGGTTCATAACACTCCCTCCTTATTCCATAAACAAATGAAATCAATTAGAGAGGGTATTCCATGAACAGATTTACATGAGACATTAAAAAACTAGTCTCAAAGAGTTGTTAGAAAGATTATATTAGATATTTTTGGGCTTCTATAGTTTGGGCTTTAGCTTGAGATGAAAGTTAAACCTAAATCTATAAATAGTGAGAAAACTTTATCATTGTAATCATATCAAGTTTGATAATCACGGTTTTGCTATTGTAAAGTGATAATAAAATTCCATAGTTGTGGGTAGAGAGTTACTCTGCAGTTCATACTCATCTTCTTTAAACGTGTTCTTGTTTTTGTTCATTGTCATTACATAACAATTTTGAGATCAAGATTGAGAAGAATTCACCGTAGATCGTGGTTGAATTCCAACATTTGGTATCTAGAGCTCCGATTTTTATTCAAGGGAAGAACAACTGTGATGGCGATGAATCACCTTAACGGTCACTTTCCAGCAAATCTACCGATTCTCAAGAAAGATAATTATGAGAATTGGTGCAAGCAGATTAAGGTGGTTTTCTGTTACCAGGATCTTTGGATCTTATGAAGGACGTATTATCACTGCTTGTAGAAACTGTGTCAGATCAGGAGAAATCAACATATAAAGAATTGAAGAAGAAAGATTATAAAGCTCTCTTTATAATCCATTAATGTCTTGATCCAGATAACTTTAAAAAGGTTAGAGATGTAGAATCAGCAAAAGAAGCTTGTGAGTTTCTTGAAAAATCCTTTGGAGGCACAGAGAATGTGAAAGATGTGAGGTTACAAACTCACAAAAGGACTTATAAATTGCTTCAGATGGAAGACAATGAAAGTATAACAAATTTCTTCACCATAGTTATGGGAGGAAAAGAATGAATAACCCAGGCTAACCTAGGGGTAGTCATGGTAGGTAGGAACCAAGATGCTGAAGAAGTAGTAAGGAACGTTCGACAAGATAACCTGAGAGGCCAAAATAATCTAGCCCACATAGTCAAGAATATCTTGGTTAATATGGCCTTAACATAGGGTTCATAGGCCAAATTCCGTGTCTCCCTTGACTGAATATGTTTTGCAGACATGACTTCCTAGGGGATGGAAAGTCCCAAGAGTCACTTAGTTTATAGGAGACACAAGTGAGCCGACTGTCGAACATATTGCTTGATACTAAACTAAAGTGGGTGATATAACTAATAACGAGTATTTTCTATTGAGATTCTTTCCAAATTTTATAATAAAAAATGCTTTCACATGGTTTACAACACTCCCTCCTCATTCCATAAATAATTGAAATCAATCAGA